GAGGAGCTATGGACAGTTGATGACTGCCAGGAGAGGGAAAGTCGGTTTTCTTCAGGAGTGTGGTCCTTGGTGTGTTGACTATCCAGGGGATGATTCTACTCCATGTGTACATGGGCAGCACTGACTGGACTCGGTGGGTCATTGAAGAAGAGGAGGAAGAGGAATGGGGAGGGAGGGAAGGAGGGAAGGAAGGAGGGAGGGGGAGGGAGGGTAAGAGAGGATGGGGGAAGAAGTTGTTGGGAGGGGGACTTCGGGGTGAATTCTGTTGTAAGGTAGCAGTGGAGGGTGAGTGAGGCCGAGTATGATTAAAATACATCCTATGTATGAAGTTCTCAAAATTGTTAAAGAATAAAAATTGTGAAAGTTTTTTTTATAGAGTTAACTTTTATTAAAGTATGAGATACACACAGAGAAAGTGCAGGCTGGGCAGTGGCCGGACTCTGTAAACATGAGGACCTGAGTTCAGATCCCCAGCACCAGGTCAAAAGCCTGGTAGTGGGAGGGGGAGCCAGGGGGATCCCTGGCACTTGCTGAACATCCATTCTGACTGAATCAGAAATCCCTGGTTCATACCCCAGGTTCAGTGTGAGAGTGAGGATAACACTATTGTTGACCTCCACAGGGATGCACACCCACATACAGCCACACAAGCACATACGTACAGAATTATGCAAAATCTGACTAGATAGCTTGATGTATATTTACAATGTGACATATTTGTATTTGTGAAACTCAGATTTTTTTATAGAACATCCCGAGTACTTCAGAAGGAGGAATAGGAGCACACACCTATAATCTCAGGACTCAGCCTGAGGCCCAAGGTTTGCAAGTTGAAGGACAGCCTGTGCTACATAGAGGGTGCTGGCCAGCCTGGGCTACAAAGTGAAACTGCTTCTGCTCTCTGCCTTGAAAACAAAAGAGCAGAAAGAAAAGGTAAGAGGGAGGAATGGAGAAGGACAGAGGTGGGGGAGAGGAGGGGGAGGGGAGAGAGCAGCAGTGAGACACACAGGAAAGACAGAGGAGCACAGGGCTTCCCTCAAGCTCCATCATGGCCGCCCTTTCCAAAGGTCACCATGTTCTTCCTTCTGTGCGTTTGTTGTCTACTTCTAGTTAGTTTTTACTTCTATTGTGTAGTAGTGCTGGTACCTAACCCAGGGCTCCAGGCCTGCCCCAGGTGTGCCAGAATTACATCCCCAACTCCGAGGATTTGATAACCGTGTAATCAAATTTCTGGGTGATTCTCTTCACCCCCCAATCCTAACCTGGCCTTACTCTAAACCCAAGTGGATCTGGGACATCTGCCTTACACTTCTGTCTGTGGCACCTGGAGAATCCTGGGTCAACAACTCCTAAGTAGGTATGAGAATTTTTGTTTAAGAACCCATGACTCTGGAAGGAGCATTATCCACTCATACAGGTCACCACCCTTCAAACTCAGTTTTTAAATTATTTTTGATTAATTTGGTTACAAAACTGTAGATTCCACATGGCTTTTTCGCACAGATCCAGTTCCAGATGCACTACCTTCCACCCCACCACCTCCTTCCTCCTCCCTTACCCCCAGATAAACCTTCCTCTGCCACAGTTCCCTCTCTATTTTCATATAACACACATATTAACACCTTCCTTTTCACACATTCTGGCCTCTACAGGCATCCAAGGTAAATACAGAAATCTAAAAATTTCAAGGTAGAACCAACATTTGTGAGTGAAAAATTTTTTCCCAGCCCTCGATTATCTCATTCAATATACTGTTTTCTAGTTCCATCAATTTTCCTACAAATTCAGTTTTCTTTACACTCAATAAAGTTCTATCACATACATTTACTAAAGTGACTAAGGCAAAGCCATTCCATTTTGACTCCATTTTGGTCTCCTCAGCCTCTTCTTAGCTGTCTACCTCACAACAGTGATATCTCCCTTGGCAACACATTTGGGATTCCAATGACCATCATGGTCCAAATGTATTAACCAAAATAATTAGTGATATATGAACTTAAACTAAAATAACCAAAGAAGGTATGGGTCAAAATTAATTGTCATGTTGTGTCTAAAATATCCATGTTCTGTCAAAACAAATGATGCAAGCTTATTTTCCCTCTCATTCCAACATCAATGAAATTGTAGGTTTTGCCTTTAAAATGCTGTAACTCTGACTTTCTGCACCAGGAGACTTTGAGGCATGAGCACATTCTTCGTTAATGGCTAAAACTAAAGGACTTTTATAAACTTAATTGTCTACATTAGTGTGATGGTCTGTATCTTCCTCTCATGGATTATTATAGTGCCACATTTCCATTATGTTTATCACCAGTGCCATCTTAGCACTGGACAGCTAGACAATTTTCATTTCCTCTATTATGACTAGAGCAGCAATGAACACAGAGGGGCAAGTGTCTCTGTAAGAGGAAACAGAGTCCTTTGGATTATGTGGAGGGAGCAAACCTTCACCAGCTACACCCTTGACAGAGGAATAATAGCCAGAATACAGAAAAACCTGAAAACATCAAGAAAGCAAATGATAAATAGGCTATGGAAATAGAGAGTTCTCAACAGAAGAAACACACACACAAAATACACACACAAACACACACACATCAAAAAAAACCCCAATGGATAATAAATATTTATAAAGTGGTCAAATCCTTACCCATTGGGGACTTGGGTAATTCAATGATTTGAGGTCTTTCTCACTCCAATCAAAATGGATATCATTGAGAAGACAAATGGCAACAAATGATGGTGGGGATGTGAGGGAGGGGAAGCCCTTCCTCTCTGTTGGTGACAGTGTAAACCAATACAGGTGCTGTTGAAATCGGGGAGGAAATTTCTCAGGCACTAAAAATAGAGCTACCATATAAGTGAGTATATCCTGGTCCTTATAAGTGAGTATATCTTGGTCCCCAATTCTATTCCATTGATTTGCACATCTATATCTGTGCCAATACTGTACTGTTTTGAATACTATGGTTCTGTTGTATGTCTTGAAATTCAGCATAATGATACCTCTAGAATTCTTTTTATTGTGCAAGATTTATTTGGAGTCTCAGGATCTTTTATATAATTCTAGATGTTTTTCTATTTCCATGAAAAATGGTGGAATTTTAGTGGAGATTATATTGAATCCATAGACTCTTTTTTGTTTTTTTTGGTTTTTTTTGGTTTTTTTTGTTTTTGTTTTTTTGAACAGTGATTTTCTCAACAGCAATTTTTCCAATCTACGTGCATTGGAAATCTTTTTCTGGTATTTTTCTCGATGCCACTTTTCAATGTTTTAAAGTGTTTATTGTGGGGATCATTAATTTTGGGGGTTAGGTTTCTTGCAAGGTATTTTATTGTTTTTGAGGCTGCTATGGTTACTATTGTCTCCTTGATTTCTTTCTCAGTCCATTTGTCATTGATTATAGGAAAGCTACTGGTTTTTGTTTGTTAATTTTGTGTCCTAGCACTTTACTGAAGGTATTTATTAGCGCTAAGAATTTTCTGGTGGAGTCTTTAGAATCTGTTATGTGTGGGTTCCTGTTATCTGCACATAAGGACACTGTGACTTCTCCCTTCCTGTTTGTCTCTGTCTTTCTCTTGTCTTGCCGCTTTAGCTAAGATCTCAAGCACTGTACTGAACAGGAGTGGAGAGTGCAGACTGCCTGGGCTTATTCCTGGTCTTAGTGGAAATGCCTTGACTTTTTCTCTACGTGTCATGATGTTGGCTGCAGGTCATTCAGTCTGCATTATGTTGAGATATGTTTCTTCCATTCATATTCTCTTCAGGGTGGTTTTCATGAAAGAGTGCTGGATTTTGTCAAGGTCCTTTCCTACATCTATTGAAATGATCATGTGATTTTTGTCTTTGAGTTTATTTATGTGGTATATTACTTTATGGATTTGTGTATGTAGAGCATCTCTGTTTCTCTAGAATGAAGTTAGCTCAATTATGATGAACAATTCTTTTTCTATGTTCTTGAAATCAGTTTACAGAAATTTTATGGAGAATGTCTGTATCTATGTTCCCCAATTTTTTTTATATTGCTGTATCTTTGTCTGGTTTTACTATCAGGGTAATACTAGCTTCACAAAATGACTTGGGAAGCATTCCTTCCTTTTCTGCTTTAGGGCCACAAGTGAGAAAACTTACTGTTCTACTTCAAATGCCTGGTAGACTCTACACTGAGTCTATCTGAGCCTAGACATTTTGGGTTGGTGTATTGCCACTTCTATCTCATTTATATTCTTTATCTCATCTGTATTTAACATTGTTGTTTCATAAATGTCTAGTCATTTATTAATAACTTTTGGATTTTTCCTACTTAAGAGAATATAAGTTTATAAGATATGCCCTTATGATTTTCCAAATTTTATTGGTATTTGAAGTAATATCTCCTGTTTGTCTATAATTTTATGAACTTTAATTGTCTCTCCTCTTCTTTTGGCTAGTTTGGCTAAGGGATCATTGACCTTGCTTATCTTTTCAAACAACCAGCTCTTCATTTCACTGTTTGCTGTTGTAGTATTTTATTTTCTGTTTCATTTCCTTCATTTCTAACCTGATCTTGTTTCTTTACATCTGTTTCTGCTGGGCTTGATATGTCCTTGTTTGCCCAAGGACATAAAAAGTGCATAATCAAACATTATTTTAAAATAAAGACAAAAGAAAGCATATATCAAGGCAAGGGAGATTCAGAGTTTAGACCAAATGTCATGTCAACAGCATCTAACCTTGTCTCACATGGAGAACATATAATAAATTCCTGACAAGATATGGACATTTTTCACTATATCAACATTTCCTCATAATTGGGAGAATGAAACTCAACTCTGACCTAACAGTCAGTTGGCTTTTTCAAGTCCTTGTATTTAACAGTTTTTGATGAAACTGGTATCACATTAAATAAATGAGTCTTCATTACAAGTAACTAATGAAAATCTACTGCAATTCTTAGTGAGCTTTTCCTCAGGGCCCAGTGAGGAAGGGAAGGGGATGATAATCAGCAGGCAACTCTAGACACCCAACACCTGTTGATACAGGTTCCTGAGTGTGTCTTTCACCTCCTCTGCAGACTCCAAGGATAAACATTGTGGAGGCACTTACTCCATTCCTCCACTCTGTATTACAGGATTCTGGAAGTGATTGACAAGGTCAGGACCACAGAAGGCCACAGAGTCACGACAGGACACACAGCGATCACTTCCTTCCAATGCTGAGGCTGTTGGGAGGTTCTGCTTTCAGTGTTGCTCTCCTGGGATTTCGGTTCTCACACCTGCTCTCCAGCCAATCAGCCAGGAAAGAAGGACAGGACAGCTGAGGGGGTGGGAGAGAGAGAGAGAGAGAGAGAGAGAGAGAGAGAGAGAGAGAGAGAATGATTGCATGCTGGGGTCACAGAACAACTCGGTGCAGATGGTTTTCTCTTTCCTACTTTATACATGTTCTGGGATCACACCAGGCTTTTGCTGCACGTGCTTTTACTAACTGAGGTATCTCAACAGCTCTGGTTTTGCTTTGTTTTGCTTTGTTTTGTTTTTCTTAAAACGTATGGTCTTTTAGGACTTATAAGGCATTCCTTGCTCCAAGCTCTTCTGGCTTTCAAAACTTCCAAAGTTTCCACTGAGAAATCAGCCATTATTCTAGTGGATTTTCCTTCATATGTGACTTGTGTTTATTCTCTTGCAGCTTACGGTGCATTCTCTTTGTTGTGTGTACTTTAACTATGACAGGCTGTAGGGAGTCTCTTTTCTGGCCTTGTCTCTTTGGTGTTCTGTGTACTTCTTGTGTTTGTATGGGCGTGTCTTTCCTTAGTGTGGGGCTGGAGAGATAGATCGCTCACTGCTAAGAGCGCTGGCTGCTCCGGGCAGTGGTGGCGCATGCCTTTAATCCCAGCACTTGGGAGGCAGAGGCAGGTGGAGCTTTGTGAGTTGGAGGCCAGCCAGAGCACTGGCTGCTCTTCCAGGGGTCCTGAGTTCAATTTCCAGCAACTGCATGGTAGAACACAACCATCGATAATGGGATCAATTCCCACTTCTGGCATGCAGGCGTACATGCAGACAGGGCACTCATATACATAAAATACAAGAATAAATAAAGAGTTTTAAAACACTTTTTAAAAAGAAGTTCCTATAAAAAATATTTCTCTGAGCCAGTGGTGGTGGCACATGCCTTTAATCCTAGCACTTGGGAGGCAGAGGCAGGAGGATCTCTGTGACTTCGAGGCCAGCCTGGGCTACAAAGTGAGTTCCAGCAAAGGTGTAAAGCTACACAGAGAAACACTGTCTCGAAAAACACACTCACAAAAAATTTCTCTGAAATAGTAAATGTCTATTATTAGTGTGTTACATACTATGAATTTTCCAGAAAACAGCTTTCCTATTTCATGCACAAATGCAATATTTACAAAGTAGAGAACATCAGAAAGGGTTTACCTGGGGTCACTGTGCTACATTCCTGAGGATCCCAGAGCTCTGATGTCAGAAATAAGATGTCTGAGCTGAATGTCTATGAGCTCATTTGATGGTTTAGATTAAACCTGAGCCTCCTCCCCAGATAACAAATGGCATCCATTCTCTTACCTTCTACACTACTGCAAGGTAAACATGCTTCCCCCCAGTGAGACATCCTCCTAGACTGGGGAGAGGAAAAGGCTGCTCTATTTTTCAGACTAATTTGGAAGTCATGTGTCCTTAGAATCAAGCTGCAGATTTACCTCATGATAGAAGATACTATTTCTACCACAGCATTCAATGAACCCTTCACTACTAACAATTTATCCCAATCAGCACTTGCTTCAGACCCTTCCCTTGGGAGATTCCTCCCTTAAAGAACCATTCCTAAAAATGTTTGCCATCTTTTTAGCCCTATCCTTACTGCATGTTTTCTTTCCCTTTGTTTAAAGGTCCACACACTAGTTTTTAAATATTTATTTATTTTATGTGTTTGGGTATTTTGCCTGCATTGATGTAAGTGCATCATTTGTGGGCACTGAACCCAGAAGAGGGTGTCAGATCCCCTGGAACTTGAGTTAAAGACAGCTGTGAGCCAACATGTGGGTACTGGAAATGAAACCCAGGTCCTCAGGAAGAGCAGCCAGTGGTCTTAACCACTGAGCCATTTTCCAGACCACGCTTAGTGTGCTTTTATATGCAAATAGTTATCAAACTATAAGGAAATTACATCCATCCTTATATACTCACAGTAAGCAGCCCAAAATGGACCTAACCTAAGGGACACCTGACTCAATTTTTTCCCTTTTTTTATTGATTTTTTTTTTCATACACTAGGCATAGGGGCACACACACACTCTGTGGAGGCAGAGACAGGCGGGTCTCTACACAAGTATATTTATGTTCCTGTTACTCTCTAAAGACCTGAAGATTTTGGAAAAGATGCTATATATTCTCAAGTATCTTACTGTGTAGATGCTCAAGCAGTACTAAGACCTAAGATGGTTAGCTAGTGAGTAACTATTATATTGGTTATTTTTGCTTCAAAATGGTCCATTAAACTTAGTGACTTAAGGTAACAGTTATTTCCTTATCCAGCAATTCTGAAGTGAGGGTGTCAGTGGGGTGATTTTTCTGCTGGTCTGGCTCAGGCATGTAGCTGCAATTTGCTGATGAGTTAGCATGCTCTCTTTCTCTCATCATTTTACTTTTTTGTAAGATATTGATTGAATAATTTCACCTTTTGTTTGTGGCTATATAACTGACTTATAATTAACTGTGGATCATCATTCCTACTTCTTATAGAGTGCTAACTCCCATCTGAGAAGGAAGAAGCAATCTATTTGGCATCCAGCACCAGGTTTTTCCATATCCATGTTGAGTTAATAGTATCAACTGTAATAGAAATACTGTGGGTTGAGCACTTAGGAGTAACCAACCACTTTTTCACTGGATGTAACACCTACTCCATGAGATAGAACCATTACATGACACTAAGAAAGTGACCAAGAACCTGATTATTATTATTATGCCATGGCCCTGGGGGAAAACCAAATACTACTGCTCTGCCAAAGGAATATAACAATAAACTGATTCCTTATGACAGACTGCAATACCCATGATTCAGGGCTTAGTTCAGTCCATATATGGGAAGCTTTCTCTTACAGTAGATGGAAACTGACACAGAGTCCCACAACTGGACAATGTGCAGAGTGAGAGACTTTGGAACCCTCAGTACTACATGGATGTCTTCATCAAACCCCTCACCTCGGGGTTCAGGGAGTTATGTGGAAGAGGAAGCGGGAAAAGTGTAAGACCCAGAGATGATGGATGACCTCAAGGACACAGTGTCCTCCAGACACAGCAGGAGTGACACACAGAAAAACTCACAGAGACCATGGCAGCACTAACAAGGCCTGCACAGGTTCAAGCCAGACAGGGTCACAGTACTGAGAGGGGGCAGTGGACACTGGTCCCCACCCCCACCAAGATGCTATCTGCAATTGACACACACTTGTAAAGGAAAATCAGTTTTCTCCAGTGGATACAAACCACACGTAAGGGCAGGCCCCATGCTCAGCAGTGGATGGTCAACACAAACAAATGCAATAGCGTCTTTGTGATTTTTGTCTGATATTGCTTATTGGACTTTTTGTTATTATGTTTCTGATTTTATGTTTTTATAGTGTGTGTGTGTGTGTGTGTGTGTGTGTGTGTGTGTGTGTGTGTGTGTGTTTATTATGGTTTTGTTCGTTTGCTTGCTTTTGTTTGTTTTCTAAAAACAGGAAGAAAAGTCATGGGTTTGTGGGTGGGGAGATGGGCAGGAGCTGGGAGGAATTGGGGAACAGGAAAGCTTGATCAGAATATATTGTATGGAAAAAATTTTCAATAAAAGTACTTTTTAAAATAAAAAAGAAAGTGCCACAATTTTCAATGAGCCTGATGAGCTTCACGATGTAATCTCAGCTCCCCTCACAGAGTATTCTGAGTTTTCTATTTATGGGCCTGTAGAGAAGATGATCAGAGAGACATGGAAAATGACTGCAGACTCGGAAGCGCAGAGGTGGTTTACCTGCAAGGTGGGTGGCAGCCATCATCAGTTGTAAGGTTTTATTCCACATTGCTAACAAGTCAGAGCACAGGCCTCCTTTTGGCATCTAGATCATTACCTCTGTATATTCCCCCAGCATCCCTCTTCCTTAGGCATCAAGCCCTTGTGTATTTCCCCAGCATCCCTCATCTGTAGGAAACCAAGCACAACAAACAGCAAAGACAGAACATCCTCAGCATACCTGTCCTGAGACTACACTCAGCCTTTTGCTCCATCTTACTCCTGGTGTCCTGAGTGTCCCAGTCCCCTTGTTCACAGAATATTTTAGGGCCTGGTTCTTCTTCCTCTGCTGTTTCTCTTCTTCCATTATTTAGGTCTCTTCCAATATTTATATTTTTTTCCTTTTATTTTATTTTACAATACCATTCAATTCTACATAACAGCCACAGATTCCCTTGTTCTCCCCCTTCCCACCACCCCTCCCCTTCCCCCCATCCCACCTCCCATTCCCACCTCCTCCAGGGCAAAGTCTCCCCCGAGGACTGAGATCGACCTGGTAGACTCAGTCCAGGCAGGTCCAGTCCCCTCCTCCCAGATGCCCCACCCTGCTCCTAAGGTATGTCAGGAGATTTTATAAACACTAGTACAACCTTTTTTACCAAGAATTTTTAGGTTGTGTCTTAACGTAAAGAGCTTCTGATTTTGCCTTTTTACTGTGTTTTCTGTGGCTGCTCTATGACAGGTGACAGGGAGGCTGTGGGAGAGCACAGACAGTTGAAAATAACACAGCTCCCCTGGTTTCGGAAGCCCTGTGGAGACAGGCACCATGGAGGGTAGTGGAGACAGCAGACACTGAAGAGATACATTGACCATTGTGAGGCTTTGGTGAAGTTCACAGCCAAAACCACAGTCCATGAAAAGAAGCTGTTCTAGACTGTGAAACATAGATATGCCCGTGGGAAACTGGTTTCTAAATATGTTCCACAAATGTACCCTGGGGTATGGAAACATGACTCGGTCTATAGAGCCCTTGCCATTCAAGCGTGAGTGCCTGAGTTTGAATCCCCAGAATCCATGGGAAAGCTCATGCTGTATCATGCATATGCTGTCTCAGTGCTAGTGTGGCAAGGCAAGTGGCAGAGACAGAAAAATACCCAGAAACCTGTGGGCCAGCTTGCACAACTTGTAACAAACAAGATGGGAGCACAGACCTCCAGAGCAACGTGGCACACACGACCTTCCCTTACACACATAGACAAGCACTCACACAAACACGGACACACACGTCATGAGAGACAGACAGTATTTAAAAAACAAGAAAACTGCAACAGGGCTAAGGGGTTTAATTGCCTTTGTGCTTTAACTTTGCAGTTGCAATCCTCTTTAGAGCTGAAAAGAAACCGCTTTCCTGCTTTGCTAACACAAAAAGCAACTGATTTCCTAGAAATGCCCCAGTTACAGAAAACGCATAGCTGCTTTCAGTTTCCACCAGAGTTACACCCCAGGAAATGCCTTTTCAGGGGCGGGCTTTGGCAGCAATCCTGCAAGTCTGGAAGTGTGTTCAGTGTGGAGGGAGAACCCACATAGGTCAGATCCCCAGGCCCACCGCCCTTTCTTGCTGCCTTTCATGACAGGTATAAGGCTCTCTTTTAAAATCTTTCTGTACTGAGACTGCACAATGAAGGGCCTGATTCCAGAGCCAGGCAGAAATGCTAAGAAATGTCAATCAAAAATTTTGGTTATCTCCAAAACGGTGGCAAAAAAAAAAAATTGAATCATACCACCTGCTCTGAAATCTTAACCCCTTCTATTGCCTGGGATAAGCACCATCTCCACACCACCCTCTGTGGCATCTTATGCACTCTGACCCCTGCTGCCCTGTTCTAAGCCTTGCCTAACTCTGCACAGTCAGACTTTCACTCAAGACAACTAGACACCTGCACACATGCACATACATATGCACATACACATGCACACACATGAAAGGTTGATCTGGGGTGGGATGTTTGGACAGCATTGCAAGGCCCTGAGTTTGATCTCCAACACTGAAAAGGAGCTAAGGGACTTCCTCAGGCTTTATTATTCCTTTCAAGTGTTGCAGCATGCTCACAACCATCAGATTCCTCCTCATGCTCTCCTCAAAGCTCCCTGCTCCTCACCCTCA